AATAAGTTTTATTGATATCTTGTTTTATTACTAGAATTTCCCCCATGTCTTTTCTCATTATCCCAGAGAACTCTCCCATATCACAAATGACATTTCTTTAAACAAACAAAAAAGAGGAAGAAGAGACTAAAAAATTAGCTAAAAAAAAATCTAAAAATATATTCATCCATTTACTTCCTACTGCTGCAAAGAAGTAGGGTAGGGATGCCTTCCTCTGTTCCTGGGAGCCATGCTTGTTCTTTGTAATTTTGCAACATTCGTTTTGATTGTTTTGTACATTTAACCTTCATATTGTCACCAGTGTCATTTCAAAAGCTTTTTGTTATCTTTACCAGTCATAGAATCACAAAATTTCAAAGTCAGAAGAGACTTCTGGGCCATCTAGTGCAATCCTTACCTAAAAGGAATCGTCACTATAAACACATTTGAGAGGTGGTCATCTAGCCTCTGCTTAAAGAACTTGAAATGGAACCCACTATCTCCCAAGGTCTTCTTACAACCTGTACCCCAACACATTCTCTTCCATCAAGTGACACGGACTATCTGGCTTTTTCACAAACAAGACACTCCATCTCTCAGCTCCATACGTTCTCTCTGACCATCCTCCATACCTGGAATGCTCTCCCTCTTCTGTTCTGGCCTTCACTGACTCCCTCTTAATTCCAGTACTTTTTTCTTTTATTCGTTTCCTATTTATCCTGTGTATAGCTTGCTTTGTATATATTTGTTGACATATTATCTCTCCCATTAGATTGTAAGCTCTTTGATGGCACAGACTGTCTTTTGCCTGCATTTTTAATCTCCACTGTTTAGCACTGTGTCTGGCACATAGTAGACACTTAATAAATGTTAATAGGTTGATCCCAAGGCAACCTCTTCCACTTTTGAACATTTCCACTTATTAGGAAGCCTAAATTTTTCTTTCTGCAGTTTCTACACTTGCTCCTTGTTTTGCTTCCTGGAGGCAAACAGAATAAGTCTAATTCCTTCTCCATGTGACAGACCTTCAGATACTTGAAGATAGCTATCATGTCCCTGCTGAATCTTCTCTTTTTCAAGATAAACACCCCTAATTTCTTAATTGATCCTTTTATATGTCTCAGGGCCCTTTGCCATTCTGGTTGCCCTCTAGATTACAATGTCCTTCCTAAATTCTGGCTCCCAGAATTTAAAATTTGTCACCGACTTCCCCAGTTCCATTAATCAGTTCTGATGTATCATGCTGTGGAGACTAAACCCTGCTTGCCCTACTTTGGAATTTGTTTAGCTTCCCCAGGTCTACATGCTATGCCTCTTCCAAAACAGCCAAAATTCGCCTTGGTTTCATTCGCTGCCATATCACACTCTTGACTCACATGGAGCTTACAATCTACAAAAGACTTCAGATGTTATTCAGAATAACTGCTGTAATCTATTCTTTTTTTTAAAAAAAGTAAGATATGCCCTTCTATAACTACAGTCTATTCACAAAACACATTCAGCCACTTTCTACATGTAATACCTAAGAGATCGAATTTATTACTTGCATTAAGATACCTAGCCAACAAAGTACAGATTAAGTTTTTTTGTTTTGTTTTTTTGAGCATGGCTAATGTGGGACTCTGTAATGGTTTTTATTTTTCTTGCCCTTCTCAGTGTGTTGATGAGAAGGAGATGGGATGAAGAGAATTCAGAACTGACCTTTAAATTTAAAAAAATTTTAAATAAAGAAAATGTTTAGAAGCTATCTAGTCAACATTATTATTTCTAGAACACCTTGAGCTCAGTATTGTCCCCATTTGTTTTCAGTGTTGTCTTGTGTGTTACTGGTCTTTCCCACTGAAATTCTTCTTGTGTCATACCCACTACTTTTTGTGATATCCTGTTTGAGGATACACAGTTTTTTCTTTCACCTCAATTTTCAGTTGTAATCAATGAGTTTCCCCGACATTTTGAAGGAAGTAAAGAAAAGTTGGTATGCCAGATTTTCATAAATCACAACCTAAACTTATATAGTACATTCCAAAATATTTTACTGTGGCTTTAATAACATAATTCCATTGGTAAAAATAGATGAATAAGTTTTGGGGTGTTTCGTGGAGTAAATACTTGTCAGTTTACTCTAATAATTATGGAAAGAATGGGGGAGAAAATGAATTTTTTTCTGGAAGAGGCAGTTAATTTTATTTTCTAAGAAACTAGTTTTTTTAAACTTTTTTTTCAGTTAAAGAACACATTTCTTTATACACATGATTACTATAAACAAGCCATTTATCATATTCTGAATATATTGACTTTTCAAAATCAGAATGATAACATGCACCTGGTAATTTCCAAAACTCACATTTTGTGAGGTTTGGCCAAAGATTTAGCTAATCTTTGAGTCTACACAGAAGAAGAGAAGATTTAAAATCACTATTGCAGTTGATTTCTGGGCAGAAAAGTAATAATATTCCTACCTGAAAAATTAAACCATTATTACTTAAAGGATATGAGCTAATTTTTATTTTTGCGCAGGTGAGTGGATGTAAATAGCCAAGGGAAAAACACCAATCAGTGTCCTTCATATGGCAAAATAATTAGCAAACTCTTGAGGGCATTTTATATTATTTTGTATGCATGGTGAATGGGTTGGTCATAATACAATCTTCATTAATGCAGTTAGTTCCTGTGAGTAAATGAAACTAATGTTTATCTTTGAATTTCACACATTTTATTTAAAACATCAAGGTTCCAAGGCTAAGTAAAAATATTCATGTGCCTATAATTAGGATGAAATTTAAGAGAAGAAAACATAAGGTATAAACAGTCCTAAATCACAATTTCTTTTTTCCCCAGTACTTGATTTTTATATGTATATTTCTCTACATATGGAAAAATCAGCTGTTCTGTTGATTCATTCACTCACACATAGGCATGTCTTTCTGCTTGGCTTCTCCATATCCTCCCCCAGCCCTGAATGTTAAGGAACTTTGAAAAATAAAAGGAAAGGACACTTTCCTTTCAAATTTCATTATAGCCTTTATTATTACTGTTATTGTTGTTATGCCACTCATTTCTCCATAATACTTCTCTCTTCCCCCAATTATACACCTTCTAGCAAAACTAGAAGATGTGTATTTACTGTATTCCAGGAATGTACTAAAATCCCCATTTCTCTAAATTGAACTGAGAAATAAATACATGTCATCTTCAGGTTTTTGAGACTGAGATTGTTCAATTAGTGTTCAGCTGCCTTTTAGTATCATTCTTATTCACAATTTTTTTTGGTTATTGTATTTAATATTTTTCTGGTTCAGCTTCACTCAGCATCCATTTATACAATTCTTCCTACACAGCTCTGAATTCCTCATATGCATCATTTTTTAGGACATACTAATATTTCATTACATCAGTTCAGCCACTTCTTAATTAATGAGCATCCACTTGTTCACTAGTGTTTTGCTACCACAAAAACTGCTGCTATAAATATTTTGTTGCATATGGAGTCATTCCTTCTGTCTTTGACTTCCTTGGTACATATGATCAGCACCATAATCACTGGGCCCAAAGCATAGAAACAGTTTAGTTCCTTTTTTTTCCCCATATCATCCCAAGTTTTCTAGGAAGTTTCCACTAACAGTGTATTAGTGGAACTTTTTCCCCAGAGCCTGTACAGTGCATAACTCAAGAAACTGAAAGAGAAAATTCCAAATCAGTAAAGCCTTTTAAAAGGTATTTGTAAGACAGCTTTTTTTTTTTTGGCTTTGACAGACTATTGAAAAAAAAAAGTTAATTGAGCCATGTCCTATGTTGGCAAGGATTTATTTATTCTTCTGAGCCATAATCTTAATTATTTTGAATGCTCAATTATTCATGGACATAAGTGAATGGGATATTCCTTCCACCAGAGAAGTACAGATTATAATCCATCTAAGTCTACCTATGTTATGTGCTTCTTATACATGTTGATTTTGAATGACGCTCCCCCCCTCCCCCCCAACGTTGATCTATGGTAGAGAGTTATTTTCCGTGGCTGGGAGTCAGGGTATATACTACAACTTCTGAAGAATTATGTGTAATCCCCAGAGGACAGTGAAAAGGCTTATGATTGCCATGAGTAGGCTGTAATAATTTAGAAACAAGAAATTAAGAAGAACCAAAGTAATAGAATAAAAGAACTATGTGAGAGAAAAAAGAAGATGGGCCAGTCATATGGAAGGACATATGATAACAGAGAGCCTATGTTCTTCATTGTTATCCTTGGATATTGGGAGAATGCAAGACCTTCCCCCCTACCCTCCAGCATTTTGAGAGGAAATGGATTAGTGCACATGGATGGGTTACATGCTATTTCATACAAGGACATTTCCCCTATTGAGGTAACAGATTCATTTGATTATACGTAGGGTTGATTAGCCTATATTGCGATAGGCTATCCTACAGTCATTTGTTTGTGTAACATAACTAAGTCAGCTTATTGTAAGCATTTAATAGTTTGTTACTGAAAACAAATATTTAGTCTTCTTCATTTCCTGTAAGTTACCTTTACATTCATGATTTTAAAAATGCTGTACTGTAATTCCAAAAGACTGATGAAGAAAAGTGCTATCCACCTCCAGAGAAGGAATCTGGATGCAGATTAAAGCATACTATTTTTTACTTGTTTTGTGATTTTTGGGAGGAGGGGGTGTCTGTGTTTTCTTTTACAACATGACTAATAAGGAAATATGTTTTACATGATGGCAAATGTATAATCTGTATCTATCTATCTGTCTATCTATATTGTTTGCCTTCTCAATGAGGAGGGAGGCGAAAGAGGGAGAGAATGTGGAACTCAAAATTTAAAAAAAACAAGAATGTTAAAAATTGTTTTAACTGGAAAAAAAATTATTTTTGAAATAAAAAATTCTGTGGTGGATACATTATTGTTAATTTACTTTGTCATTGTGAACATTGTGAACCTTAGTAACCTTTGATATTTATTAATAATTAATTCTGATCTTCTGACTTCTCTTGTTTCTATTTCTTATTCTCCTTAGTTTCATGCTATGGACACATTATACAGACACAGTTATGATTTGAGCAGTGCAATTAGTGTTCTGGTACCACTTGGAGGACCTGTTTTATGTAGAGATGAAATGGAAGAATGGTCTGCTTCTGAAGCTAGCCTGTTTGAAGAAGCTTTGGAAAAATATGGAAAAGACTTCAATGATATACGTCAGGACTTTGTAAGTAGAAAATTGCAGGGCCTTTTTTATGATTAAAATAAGTCATGGTATGGCCACTGCATTTGACATGTGAATATTTTTAAAGCATTTATCTACAAAGCTCCTGTTTTAGCTGTTATCTTTCAGCTATGCTATGAATATTAGTCTATCAGGATGAGAGTAACAGTTTGATTACGTCTCTTAGCTAAAGCATTTATGTCCATTTTAAGGGAATGACTGCTTTATTAATAAATAGGACTAGGAATCTGGAGGTCCTTGAGTTCTAATACTAGTTTCAATATAGATTCCGTCTGTGCCTTTGGGCAAAGTCTTAAACTTAGTACTTCCTAATTATCCAATTATAAAATTAGCATATGACTCGACTTTCTTCGTATTTTCTGTATTGTAATATCTTTCAGCTATTCAGTCATGTGAATTTTATCTCGTGATTAATACATCATAGTATTATTCTGATAGTTTAAGTAATAGCATTTCTGTTCTGATACATAGTCTCATTTAGAGTAATACTGTCAGAGAATTTTTAGCTAGAATGTAGCGTAGGAAGCTGTCATTTGGTCCATCTCTTCATTTTACATATTAGGAAGCGGACTCAGAGGTGAGGAAACTGCAGCCTCAGTGCCACATGTGGCCTTCTAGGTCCTTGGGTCCAGCTTTTTGACTGAATCCAAGTTTTACAGAACAAGTCCTTTTATTAAGGGGATTTGTTCTGTGAAGTTTGAATTCAGTCAAAGGGCTGCACTTGAGGACCTAGAGGGCCACATGTGGCCACGAGGCCTGAGAGTCCCCCCCTTCCAGAATTCATGTAGGTACTTGTGTGACTCTTTCTGCTGTTCTTTAGGTATAGAAGCTACTGCCTTATAAAATTTTGACAGTTTGTGCTGCTATATTTTAAACTGTTACTTAGAAACCACAGGTTCTTATTTGAGGCTTAGAAGAAGCTTCCAAGAGTAACCTTTCAGTTTTATTTCAGTTGTTTAAAACTGAACTATATTTTCAATTTACATGCTATTGTATATTCAGTGTGATTTTTCTGGAGGGACAGTGACCACGTTGTTTCTTGACCATATATACTGCCTCTGCAATTGCAAATAATAATTCCCATGTTCAGATACTACTTATTACCCAAGTGCCCAAGGGGCATTTCCATAAGAGGTAGAGCTACTATACATTTTTAACAAGAGATTAGTTGTGATAATTCTTTTCTTATAAAGTTAATCTAAAATGTCATTAATCATGGGGGAAAAAAAGAGAAACCTTCCTATTGTAGTGTAATTGGAATTCATTAAATAACATGGGTATACTTATAATTTTAATCTGGTAATTACTCCTCCAGTTAGTTTCTCACTGGTCAATCTCTCAGCTGTATACTTTGAGTTTAGTACCTCTCTCATGTTTAATGATCATCTCTTCCCTTTTGCGTCTACCTTCTTATCTTTTGAAATGTTGTTAATCCTTTTTCTAGATTAAAAGTCCTGACAATAATGAGACAACATACCAAAATTTATGGGAGGCAGGGGAAATTTTATATCTCTAAATGCGTACATCAGTAAAATAGAGAAAGAGCAGATTTAAGCATGCAACTAAAAAAGATAGAAAAAGAACAAATTAAAAATCCCAAATTAAACACCAAATTAGAAATCCTGAAAATCAAAGGAGAGATTAATAAAATTGAAAGTAAGAAAACTATTGAACTTATAAATAAAACTAAAAGCTGGTTTTATGGATAAAACCCAACAAAATAGATAAAACTTTGGTTAATTTGATTGGATTAAAAATCCTTCTCTTGTATAAACAAATAGTCAATTCAGATTCAGTCCTAGTTAGTGTGTTTTGCCCATATGATGTTTATATATGTGTACAGTGGTAACAAATTCATAGGTGGTTGAGCATCTTGACTTTGTAGCCATCTATCAAAATTTTAAGATGCTTGAGAAGCTTGGAACCCTACCCTGGTGGCTGGTGGAGGAGGGCTGTGCTGTTCTCATGTATCCACAAACTTTGCTGCTTTTCCTTTTTGTTTTCTTTTTTCAATTCCCTCTTCGTGTGTATTTGAGAGTTTAATTTAGCACTTTTTGGAACAGATTCATGAGCACTTTTAGGAGTACTTGCCTCCTTTCAGGGGGATATAAACTTGTTGCATTGCGCTTATTGTTTTTTCCCCATTTGTGTATATCCACAAACATATGCAATTGTCAGCAGGAAAGTGAAAATGAAGTTACTATTGAAATGCTTGAAATCATGAAAGTTAAATGTGCAAACATTGAGAATTAACCGTATATTAGTTGCATACAGAATAAATTTCCTCAACCATAGTTACTATTAAAATGCTTCAAATCATGTAAGTTAAATGTGCAGTTATTGGGGATTTATATAAATTGCATACAGAATAAAGTCTAATTTCCTGAGCCATTAAAAACTCTCCATGGTCTGCCTTCAGCCTTCTTTTTTGGCTTTCTGATGCTACTTTCTGAATACCATTTCACATAACTCGACGTATCAGGTAGCTAACTAGGCTTACTTATAGCTTTACGTGAAAGAGACTTAGCTAGAGATGTGAAAGAAACAAACTGTCACAAATGGTATCTGCAGTAGTTCAGCAAATAGCTACTGATCCAGTGTGAAGTAAGGCTGGAAAACTAGGGTGAGCCAGCTTATGGAAGTTTGTAAATATCAGACTGGTGAGTTCATATTTTATTCTAGAAGCAATGAGGAGCCACTCAAGATTCTTGAGCAGGGGAGTTATGTGGTTAAATGTCTTTCTTAGGAAGATTCTTTTGATCACCATATACAGGGTGAGTAGCAGTAAGAAGAGAACAAAGTAGGGCAACAATAATGAAGATATTCCCATAGTCCAGAGGTGAGGCCTGGACTAGGCTGGCGACTGTGGGGATCCAGTGAAGAACGGATACAATTTGGAAACTGATTAGATTATTATAGGATCATAGATTTAGAGTTGGGAAGGCACTTTCATCTAGTTCAACCTCCTTATTTTACATGTACATATGTGTATATACATATGGATACATATGGATGAAGAGAAGTTAAGACACTTGATCAAGATCATATTGATGTTAAATGTTGTTCAGTCATTTTCAGTTGCATTTGACTCTTCATGGACCCCATTTAGGATTCTCTTGGCAAAGATACTGGTTTGTCATTTCCTTCTCCATTTTACAGATGAGGAAACTGAGGCAAACAAGGTTAAGTGACTTGCCCGGGGTCACACAGCTGGTAAGTGTTTGAGGCCAAATTTGAACCCACAAGGAGGATTCATTCTGACCCTAGGCCCCAGCACTCTAAGGGTTGTGCCACTTAGCAGCCCCGATACTAAGTAGCAGAGCTACAATATGAAAATGACCTCAAAGTTACAAACCTTGTTGGCTCCAGTGAAGGCAAGGAGACTTCAAAAAAAAAAAAGATACAAATTTAGCAGAGAGGAAGATAACCGATTATATTTTGGACTTGATGTCTTGTGATGCAGATGTGACATCTATGAGGAGATGCCCATAACATAGTTTTGAATGATTCAGGGTTGGAATGCAGGAGAGAAATTAGGTTTGTATCTATAGCTTTAAGAATCATCTACATAGAGGCAACTAGGTGGTGCAGTGAATAGAGCACTGGCCCTGAGTCAGGAGGACCTGAGTTTAAATATGGCCTCAGGCACTTAGGAGCTGTGGGACCCTGGGCAAGTCAGTTAACCCAATTGACCGTCCCTGTCCCGTCCCCCCCCCAAAGTATCATTTGCATAGAGGTGGTCCTTGAACTCATTGTAACTGATAAAAGAGACAAGGAAGAGAGTATCAAGATGAGCAGGGCCTAGTACAGAAAACCCACCTTAAAGCACCTCAAAGATTATGATTCAGCAGAAGAAATTTCAGTAGTGTTCAGATTGTCAGGTTAAATAGTGTGAGGGAAATTATGGAAGGAGAAAGAATCCGAGAATGGGAGAGGTCAGTAGTGTCTAAAACATGGAAGCTTATAGAAGTTGACGTGGGTTGGGAGAGGGTGACCTTAGCAAAAAGAGGGGCTGCTTCTTTTTCAGAGAATGGAATAAAACCTGTACCATGTATGAAGGAGAGAAAAGTTGAAAGGATAATCTCCATTTGTTATAGTTAATGCAACATTGAGATAAGGCTAGTGGATTGAGGGCCCATATTGCAGTCAGGAAGACCTTGTCTGAAGTCTTTATTCCAAAGCATACTAGCTGTGTGACTTCTCAGTGTCCCAGGAAACTCTCCAAGATAATTTACAGGTATCTGGTGGAGGGAATTTCCATACTAGGGAACCTCCAGAATGATGAAATCACAGACCTGGATCTCTTTCCCCCTATATTCTACCCTCTTCCTCTAACTCTGGAACATTTATCATGGTAATGCAATATAACAACATTGCTTGCTTCTCTAAATTGTTGTAATTGATAAAAACTACTCTTCAAAACCATCATTAGCTTTCTCTTGAAGAGAAGTAATCTGCTTAATTTCTGCAAAGCATTGGAAAAGATATCTAGAGCTTCTTTTGGAAATATTATTTTCAGAACTTAACCTAGTTTCAGTTCTTTTCAACTCATCTCGAATATTTGTTTAAAAGACCATGGAAATTTTTCCATTGTATCCTGTCAATTGTAATTTATTAAATGGCAAACTTCCTATTATCTACTGTACAATTTTATATAATTTAGTATTTTCCCTTTTCTGCATCTCCCTAAACACACTTCTTTCATTTTAACATGTGTGCTTCTAGCGGAAGTAACAAGCACATTTTTTCTTTCATAATGAACCCACCTAATGAAGGAATCTCAGCTTTAATTCAGTGTGTAGGCTCCTCAACTTTGTTTTCAGGGTGAGCTTAGTGATTTTTTTCTCGACATTGTAAATATAGATAACAATTTTTAAAGGGTTTATAATGTGTTTTATAAAATTGTCTTTAAAAAAGTAAAGCCTAAATATGTATGCCTGCAAATTTAGTATGTAGACTTTTTAGTTACACAAACGTATAGA